ATTGTCAACATTGGACCGAACCACGTGACAACCTATCGATGCACGGCGCTGTGATCGCCAGCCTCCTGGCGTTCCTCCCAGTGGATGCGATTGCTAAGGAGTGTGCCACGCTGGAGACTCAGCTCTTCCAGGTCGCTCTCGCTGCCAATGCATCTGCTGGACACGCCTCGCATGCAGATCGTCGTCCTCGACAGGGGCGCGCCCGCGAGCAGTGCACAGTCTGCCCAGATGTCCAGATCTTCAACGACTGCCCGGGGAATGGCCCTGCAACTTGTGCAAGCGCGGGAACGGTATCTCCTGGCTGCGAGTGGTGCCCTCTGGTGAACGAGTGCCGCGTGAAGTGCACGTGCCACGACGATTCTCCCCCCGCGCGTTCTTTGTTCGAGGATTGCGCGTATTCGGCAGGGGTACCGACGCAGACGGTGTCGGCTTGGCCTCCCGTGTTGGCCCCGTCCTACACCAGCTATTATCCGGAGTGCGAGTGCGATTCGACGGGCGAGGACGACCCGCACATGACCAACATGTATGGCCAGCGCTTCGACTTGATGCAGCCAGGCGTGCACGTCCTCTTGCGCATCCCACAGTTCGCCGAGAAGACTCTGCTCCGCGTCGACGCCAAGGCGACGCACCTTGGCGCCAAGTGCGAGGACATGTATTTCACCGCGGTGAATTTCACCGGGGCGTGGGTTGCGGGTGGGCGAGGCACTGACCGCGAGGGGTGCGTGCAGTTCTTAGCTGGAGACGACAGCGATCCCTCGAAGAACGGCTGGTGGCACTTCCAGAATGTGGGCCTCAAGGTTGTCCACAGCCGCGCGAAGGTTGGCCCCTACCTGAATTTCCATGCCAAGAACCTCAGGAATGCTGGATATGCTGTCGGTGGGCTGCTGGGGGAAGACGATCACACCGAGGCCGCAACGAAGAGCCCAAGCTGCAGGAAGACTCAGAGCCTCCTCCAGTTTGGTGAGGGAAGTGGGCTCTCGGGCTCGGACGGGTTCTCTGGCTCCAAGGCAGATGCCAGCCTGTAGGTACAGCGCTGGCTTCAGTCAGCGGTGCGTGATCGGGCTCTGCAGTGGGTTGCACCGTGGCGCGGCATGGCGATTTCTCTCTCTCTCTCTCTCTCCCTCTCTCTCCCCTCTCTGTCCCTCTTTATCCCTCCCGTCCTTCTGCGCACCGCTTTGGTGGTACGCGTTTCAAAAGACACCGCGGTCTCAGACATTGGCATCGGACCTTGGTGTCTCGTTTTGGGCTGGTTTGCCCTAGACCCGAGGTTCACGTACTCAGCGTAGCTCGAGAAAAAAACACAGCTTGTACCACCAAGCTTTCACCACCTAGCTTGCACCACGAAGCTTGCACCCCACGGCTCGCACACCGAGAGTGCAGCAATTCATTACTGGTTGGGCCTACGCTGCCGAACACGCACACACACACACACACGCACGCACACACACACACACACACACACACACACACACACACACACACACACACACACACACACACACACACACACACACACACACACACACACACACACACACACACACACACACACACACACACACACACGCATATACCACCTGGTTTCCCACGCCACCCTGCCCAGGCCACGTGTCTCGGCGGTCTGACTCCAGCGCCATCCATGACGCCTTCCCGACGCCCAGCCCTCGCCAGGCGGGGCCCCAGGAAGGACACCCGACCGCCATTCTCTGGGCCCCGGAGACCCGCTGCAGCGGCTCGGCAAGGGGCGGACCGCTTGCTCCACCCGCAGAGATGCACTCCTGGCGGGAGGCCCGGACGCGGCAGGCCGCATTCGGGTCGGGTGGCCTTGTGTGTCAAGACCCGACTCTCGCCCCGGTTCGAGGTGCAGCCGGACGCGCGGCTCGAGGCTCCCCGACGTGGGCAAGGACAGCCGACTCCGTGGCTGCCGGGCCCGAGGTGCGATCGGGCGCGAAGAGCGCGCATGCCGCCGCAGCATGCCAGGCCGCTGCTGCGGTGCCAAGGCCCGTCGCCGCGCCACTCCCGCATGGGCTCTGCTGGCCAGCTGCTGGAGCGGTGCGCGGGGCCGCGCGGACGAGGTGGCCCTCCTCGCAGGTCGGGCGCGCGAGGGCTGCTGGGGCGGCAACTTCTCCTCCTGGCGCCCGCGCTGCTGCGGGGACGACCCCCCGCCGGCCTGCTTCGACGGCGGCGTCTACACCGAGGAGTTCTGCTGCGGCACGTCGCGCCAGTGGCGCCCCCGTGACGAGGAGTGATGGGCCCATTTCCCACCACCACTACCATAGGTAGGGGAGGGAGGAGGAGGAGGAGGAGGAGGAGGAGGAGGAGGAGGAGGAGGAGGAGGAGGAGGGGAGGAGGAGGAGGAGGAGGAGCAGGAGGATGAGGAGCAGGAGGAGGAGGAGGAGGAGGAGGAGGAGGAGGGGGAGGAGGAGGAGGAGGGGGTCTACTCCGTCCTACATCTCGTTGCTGTGGTGGGAAATTTGCCCAGCAGAGGAGGGCTGCCGCTGCGGCCCCGGGGCCGAGGGCGTGCTGCGGGCCGTGCTGGGCGCCGTGGCCGCGGCGGGCCCCGGGCGGATGCCCGCGGCGCCCGAGGCCGCCGCGCTCTGCGGCAGCCTGGAGCGCTTGATCGCCGAGGAGGGCGCCCAGTGCCCGGCCGTTCGGTGGCCACGCGCGAGCCCTCCCCAGACACTTTCGAGTCGTGAACAAAAATACGACGAGAGGTTTTTTGCTACTTTGGGTCTTTGGGGGCCCTTACCGGGATTCGGGGCCGTCAAAAAGCGACTCAGGATAGAAAATTCGGTTTTGGGGAAGGGGTCGACGTTATGCAAAATCATGTCGTAGAACAAATCAGGACGGGGGTGTTTTTTTTTTTGCCAATTTCGGCCTCGGGGGCCCCTCGCCGGGCCTCGGGGCCGTCAGAACACGGCTCAGGATGAAAAGCAGGTGCCGGGGAAGGGGTCGGGACTTCCAGGGATTGCGTATTGAACAAGTCAGGGTGTCGCACGTCTGGGGTGGAAACCCATGCCAAGAAGCACCCTGCTTGCCCCCAGGGTGCTCCGGGCTTGTTTTTTCTATTAGGTTTTTTGCTAAAGAAGGGCGCTCCCACGCCAAACATCAGTGGACGTCCTGGGGTCTCAGGGTGGGGTTTCCTGTGGAAGGTTTCTTGCGGTCGAGCTCCTACTGCAAACTAAGCCCCAACCTGAATGACAACGTGAAGACGTGACCTCACTGAGGCCCCCGTCTTTGCATCAAGGTCCTTGTATTGCTAAGCAGTGCACCCTACGCCCACACCCCACGTTTTCTGAGGGGGGGTCACTTCGTTCCGGAGCTCCCGAGCGGAGGGGACCCCCAACTCTCCTCGAAAGCGCGAGGGGCGGGGGTACATCCCCCCTCGGAATCAAACGCAAGTTTTTCCTGCGACGTGGCGGCGCCCCAGGACCTCAAGATCTAATTGTTCGCGCCGAGATTGGGCGACTGCAGACACCGAGATCTGACCCCGTGGGCCGCGCTTCGCGCGTCGACCACCATGAACAACTTGCGTTTGATTTCGAGGGGAGTTGTCGAGTTGTTACCCTTTGTCCTCCTCCTCTCCCTCCCACCCCATTGTGTCCTCGGCCAGCACATGTGGTGGATGCCTCTTGGGCTTTGTGCTTAGGACAAGGCACGCGTGAAAAGGTGAAGTAGAAGCAGCAGGCATGCACAGGGTGAAGTAGCGACGAGCGGAATCACGAGGCTTATGACGTTCCAACCTACTTTAGCCTTGACTGCCAGAAAGAATTTCGAGCACCAAGACAGTACCGAAACTTGAGGTGTTCATGCACGTGTCGGGCCCTGGGGGTTAATACTCGTTCGACACTGTTTCGATACTTGTCTGGGCGCTCGAATTTCTGGGATGTGGTCCTTAAGTACGATGGGAGTCACATAACACGAGGTGAGGAAAGAGCCCAGGGCTCATGGCCCAGAGCGCCGGATTTCGAGGGGAGCTGCCGGGCTCGCCTGTCGGGCGAGTCGGGCTTCTCTTTTTGGGGGGGGAGGAGGAAGAGGAGGAGGAGGAGGAGGAGGAGGAGGAGGAGGAGGAGGAGCAGCAGCAGCAGCAGCAGCAGCAGCAGGAGAAGAAGCGAGGAGGAGGAGGAGGAGGAGGAGGAGGAGGAGGAGGAGGAGGAGGAGGAGGAGGAGGAGGAGGAGGAGGAGCAGGAGGAGGAGGAGGAGGAGGCAGCAGCAGCAGCAGGAGGGAGGAGGAGGGAGGAACGAGGAGGAGGAGGAGGAGGAGCTCGCATTGTGGCCACCCCTCCGTGGAGCTCGCCGGGCGCGCGGTGTGCGCCCACGGCCGCGGCCTGCGGGGCGACGCCGCCGCCGCCGCGCAGCACGCGGGCGCCGCGGCGGCCGGGGCGGCGCGGCTGGCGCGGCGGCGGCCGCCTTGGTGCAGGACGTCGAGCAGGGGATCGAGGAGGAGGAGGAGGCGGAGGAAGAGGAGGAGGAGGAGGAGGAGGAGGAGGGTGGATGGGGGGAAGAGGCGAGGCAGTTCGAACCCGAGGTGGCCACAGGGCCTTCCACGGAAGGGCCCTTGGATGGCCCAGGAGCCGGGGCCGCGGAGCCGCGCGGGCCGCGCCGTTCGCGCCCCCGGCCGCGCGCGCTCGGCGCCGCGAAGCGCGCGGTGTGCCCGCGGGGGCGCGCCGACCGCCCCAGAATTGATTGCCCCCCCCGGAGCCCGGAGCTACGACGAGTGCGTAGAATTTTCGCAAATCCACTTGGGATTCGGGATGCTGTCCTGCAGATCACCACCCGCCAAGCCACCCCAACCCAGCCCGAAGGCTTCAATTCGCCCTTCATTTCCAGTGGGGGGGTCCGGGAACACTGAAAACACACATACGGAGTCCGCACCCACCCCGAACCGAAATTCGGGTCTGCGGGTTAGGTTGGGGTGGTCTGGTAGGTAGCCAGTCGAATCGACGAGAAAATTGGGTTTGGGGCAGCAAACAATTCTGTAGTCGATCCCCCGCTCGAAGGAGGGAGCTGGAGCGCCTGGTCAGCTCGGGGTTCCCCTTCTCCGAGGCGGAGGCCGCGCGCAACGCGGAGCGCCTCGGCCGGCGGGCCGCGGGGGCGGCCGGCGGCGGGGCGGGCTGGCGAAGGGAGCCGAAGCCTCAGCTGGGCTCGCTCTCGCGGCTGGACGAGCTCGCCACCAGGCGCCCCCAGGGGGAGCGCGCCTGGGAGCGCCTGGGGAGCGCCTGGGAGCGCGTGGGAGCGCGTGGGGAGCGCGTGGGGAGCGCCTGGGAGCGCCTGGGAGCGCCTGGGGAGCGCCTGGGGAGCGCCTGGGGAGCGGGTCCTCGCGGCGGGGGCAGGGGCCCAGGCTGGTGGGCGGCGCCAGCGCCCGGGGCTCCGAGGAGGACAAGGCAGCCCATTACCCCTACCCTTGCGGCCGTTTTCTCAGTTCTTTTGTCGGGCCTCCTGGGAGGCCCTCGTCGCCACCGCTGGCTTCGCCTCGACATCCTGGTCAGAGCGCGCCCCAGGAGAGGTCTGGGGGGGCAGACGCATGGGTACCTTCTGGAAGAAGATAACACGCCACAAGCAGAAACTGTTGGCGCTCCGCGCGGGTTTCTCGGATCCGAGCTTGCCCCCCCCCCCCCCGGGCGACGCCTCCGGCGGCGCCGCCCCTGGCGCGCTCCGCGCGCCAGGGGAGGGGGTCCAGCGCAGATCCGAGAAATCCGCGCGGAGCGCCAAAAGCTGATGCTAATGGCGTGCTGTTCCTTCCTCTGTTGTGCGCGGCGCCAGCGCCCAGGGAGCCACCATAGCAGGGCGGGGGCAGGGGCCCGCGCGTTGGTTTTTGCGCGGCGGCAGTTCTGCGGGGGCGAGGGAGGGAGGGCAGGGCGGGGACACGGGGACAGCAGGGCTCGCAACTCGGCCACGCGCAGAGGGGGGCAGGGGGAGGGGGAAGGGCTTCTGAGAAGCACTCCTGCTTCTTGGAAGGCGCGGGCCTCGTCTGTAGATGCAAGGCCCGCGCCTTCTGAGAAGCAGCCTCCTCCTAAGAAGCCGTCCCCCCTCCCCCAGTACCCCCCTCTGCGCGCCGCCACTCAACGTCTGCCAGGGTGCGAACTTGGCCTGGGGCCTCTGCCCGCATCCTGGCCCCTAGCCAGGAGGCCTCACGCCCGAGGCGTTTTCGACCCCGCGGGAGGGCCAGGGCCTCCTGGGGCCCCCTCCGGCCCTTGCCGCGGGCGCGCCCTCGAGGTACCGGGCCTCGCCCACGATGCGCGCGTGGCAGAAGGGCTTCGGCTGCGCGGGCGGCGACACCGGGGAGGAGGGCAACTTCTTCTCCCGGGTGTACGCCCGCCTCTTCGACCACCGCGTCGAGGCGTCCAGCTCTCCGCCCGGGCCCTCGCGGTTTGCTCCCGTGCGGGTCCTGGAGGTCGGCGTCTGCGACGGCTCCGCCGTGGCCATGTGGTCGGAGTACTTCGAGCACCCCGACAGCCGCATCGTGGCCATGGATGTCAGCTTCCTGCTCTTCGGGGGCAATCGCCCATACCTCGTGCAGCGAGGCTTCGACCTCTCGAGGCTCTCCGCCATCATCGAGGCCAACGCTTCTGACCCTGCGGGCGGCGCCCTGCTGACCGCGAACTGGAGCATGGGCGACAGAGCACGGCGAATGGCCACGGCCAAAGCCCTTCGCTTGCACGGGCCATTCGATTTTATCAGGGACGACGCCTCCCACACCCCCTCCGACATGATTGCTACGTTCCAGTGGCTCTTTCTCGCAGCGCTGCGTCCTGGCGGCGTGTACGCGGTTGAGGACGTGGGGACGTACTCCTTGGGTTCCAGGGGGTCGCTGGACGAGTCGGGTGAGTTCTCGTACTTCTTTCGCCTGGCGAGGGACTCCCTGAATTTCCGCTACGACGCTGTCACCGATCGGTGGATGGCCACTTCGTGGATCCAGTCCCTTCGCGCGAGCCCCCTGGAGGCCTGGGTGGACAGCGTGGAGTTCTCGCGGGGCCTGATCGTGGTGAGGCAGCGCCTGGGCAATGCCTGGCCCACGGACGACCTCGCAGGTGGGCCCCGGCCGCCCAGGCATGCACGCGGGAGCCGCCCGAGGGTCCCGCGGTGCCCGAGGGGTGCTCAGTGTCAACCACGCGCAGAGGGGGGTATACGGGGGAGGGGGGAGGGCTTCTTAGAAGCACCCCTGCTTCTTAGGAGGCGCGGGCCTTGTCTTGACATGGAAGGCCGGCGCCTTCTAAGCAGCAGCCCTGCTTCTGAGAAGCGACCACACGTAGGAGTGACCCTTCGCCAGAGCGACCTTTGGTGCGGGCTCACCGGGCTCCCCCCGATCGCCGAGCGCGATGCGATGTAAGCGGCCCGCGCCCTTGTCGGGGGCGGAAAAGAGGGGGGTGATGACTAGGGGGGGTGGATATGGCGCGGGCCATGATGTCTCCGCAGATTTCATGGCGCCTCTTCTTATTTCATTGCGTCCCAGGCCCCCCCGCCGGGCCGCGCACGTGCCGCCGGTCATGATCTGCACCCCCCCCTTTTGGACACCCCCTCTTGGCCGCTCCCGACCTTGGGCTTAGCCCCCTCGCGCCCCCCAACAGCTGCGCACCAGAGGTCACTCTTGCCCAGGGTCACTCGTTACGTCCAGCCGAAAGAAGCCTTCCACACTCACACCTCCCCCCCTTTGTTTACGTTGCATCTGACCTCGCCTGTCCCCAAAATCGGTTTCTTTTCTTGTGCCCGACTCGGGCTCGATGCGGACTCGACGCGGATATTTGGCGTGGATTCGACGCGGACGCAGCACGGATTCGACGCAGATCTGACGAGTCCGACGTGGATTCGACACGGATTCGACGCGGATATGGCTTCGACGGGACAGAAAAGGTCCCCCGAGGATGCAACAGAACTTTGTGCGCGCCTCGGGCCGCTCCTGCGCCAGCTCTGGGCCGCGCGGGTGCCTCCCTCTCGGGGCCCCAGCGCGCCGTGGCCCATGGCGTTGCCCGCCCGCCAGGAAGCGCGGGGAGCACAGCTCGCCGGGCTGAGGAGCGCCGCCCCGTCGGAGGAGCAGAGCCCGACCGACCTCCAGAAGAAGAAGAGGAAGGAGAAGACGAAGAAGAAGAAGAAGAAGCGCCTCGCCCGCGGGCTCGTCGCGGGGTCCACCGCGCTCCGCGCCGCTCGCGCTCCACGGTCCTGGCCGCGGAGCTGTCTTTCTTCGGGGGGGGGGGGGCGCGAGGGCGCGACGGTCGGCGGCGAGCGAGGGGGGGAAGCGAGAAGGAGGGGGCCTTCTCAGAGGGCGGCAGGGGGGCTTCTCAGAAGCGCCCGGGGCCTCTGGGAAGTTCCCCGCGTCGTCGGGGAAGGCTTGGCCAACTTCTCAGAAGGTCGGGGGACTTCCCTGCCTTCTGAGAAGGCCGTCTCCTTCCCGCTTCCCCCCCTGGGTCGCCGCCGAGAAGATGCGGTATGTAACCGCGCGCGGCGCGAGAGCGCGAGACGCGCGGGGTGGGGCGGCCTATAGAGAGGCCACGGCATGCCCCATCCTCTCGGGCGCAGCCGCGGCCGAACTCCGCCGAGGGTGGTCGGCGGAGGCAAGAGGAGTGGGCATAGGACAGCCCCGGGGTCGGGTATTACAGTGGGAACCCATGGCCAAGAAACACCCTGCTTACCTCCAGGGTGCCCTGGGCGTCTTGGGTGTCGCTGGTTGTTCTATGGAGAGCGTGGCGTTCCCCACACCGAAGAGTCAGTGGACGCCCTGGGGTCTCAGGGTTGGGTTTCTCGTGGAAGGTTTCTCGTGGTCGAGCTCTCATTGCACACGCATTCGCCTGGGAGGATCGTCGACGACATGACCGATCGCAGGTGCAGATGCGCGTGCAATTCAGAGGCGAGGGGGGGGGAGATAGGCTCGGGGGGGGGATGCTTGGAGCCAGAATTCGAAAAAGAAATAAAGGTATAAACAGAAGCTCTTGGCGCTCCGCGCGGATTCCTCGGATCCGCGCTGGGCCCCCCTCCCTGGCGCGCAGAGCGCGCCAGGGGCAGCTCGAGGGGGGGGGGGACGCTTGGAGCCAGAGTCGCCCACTCGGCGCCGACAGCGGGCCTGCCGGCCCGCCCCCGCCCGGGAACCCGTGCGGCTCCGCTCGCTGCTGGGGAGGGTCTCCTCCTCGCCGAGCTCTCCCACAGCGACGCGCGCCCCCGCCTCTCCTCGGGCCCGGCGCGCTCCCGCCGGAGCCGGGCGCCCCCGGCTGCTGCCCCTCCCCGCCTCGAGGCATGCCAGCAGGGGCCGTGCCTTCGAGGATCGAAGGGAGGAGCTGCCGTGCCTTCGAGGCAGGCGTCTGGGGCACTCGAGGCATAGCTCTCACAGAGGGAGGAGGGAGGAGGGCACTCCCGACGAGGCCGTGCCTTCGGGGACCGAAGGGGGTGCCATCCTTTCCTGTGCGGCAGGCGGCGGCAGGTCGGCGGAAGTCGAGCGAGGCCGCCTCCGCCGGCGGAGGCCAGCGGAAGACCTGCGGGAGGCGGCGGGAGTACTGAGTTGCCTTCTGTCAAGCAGTGGCGAAGCGTCCTGGCTCGCCTAGAGCCCTGCCGAACAATGTCCTAAGAACCTTTTGTGGTCTCCACGACATGTTCTTAGAACATGTCTGGTTGGGACTGTCTTGTTTGTTGTGACACATAAGGCTTAAGTTCTAAGAACGCTGTCTTTGTTATGAGAACATTTCTGGGTCCTAAGAACATTCCGTGGTGGGACTACAGGAATGCCGCCGGGACGCTCGGTCCTTGCTCAACTCCGAGAGATGGGAAAAAACTTGTTCGGGGATCCGGTTTCCCGGACTTTTTGATCTGCGGGGCGAGAGCGAACCTCTTCCGCTGAAAGCTAAGCGGGACGCGCACAGCTTTAATTAGCAGAGAAAAGGCGGAAGAAGGCGGGGCCTCACGCGGCCGGGAGAGGGCGAAGCCTTGGGTTCAGGCGGTGCCGAAGATGATGTGCCGGGGCTTCCGGACACTCCACCACTGGAGTGCCGCCCCCCCCCCCCCCCTTGAAGCTGCATCCGCGCCCGCGGCGGCCGCCGATGGGAGCTCCTGGCGCTGCCGCGGCGGGCCGCGTCGCCGCGCTGCTCCGGGAGCTCGTCGCGGGCGGGGCGCCGCTGCCCACCGCCATATGCTGCCAGGTCGAGCGCGGAGGCGCGCGGCGGCGGGCGGCCCGGGCGGAGCGCGCAGGGCGCAGGGCGGCGCGCGCGGGGCCGCGCGGGGCGACGGCGCGCGGCGACGTCGCGCGGCGATGGTTCGGGCCGGACGAGAGGGGGGGATTGGGAAAGGGCCGAGACACACCCTGCTTGCCTCCAGGGTGCCCTGGGTTTCTCAGGTTTCGGTGGCTTTTCTATGGGCAGCGTGGCGTCCCCGCACCAAACATCAGTGGACGTCCTGGGGTCTCAGGGTGGGGCTTCCCGTGGAAGGTTCCTTGTGGACCGGCCTCCGTTGTTCGGGCCGAGCGAAAGGGGGGGATTGGGACAGGGGCGGTTACGAGATGTGCTGCATGCAGCCGGTTTCGGCCCCACCGAGGGGCCCATTCCTCGATACATGGCCGCCTCCGGCGCCGGGAGGCGCCGGGAAAATCAGCTATACGTGAGCTGATTTTCACCCCCCCCCCTGTGCTATCCCCCCCTTTCGCCCGACCCGAATGCTTCAGAGGGGGAAGAGGTACCCATACCGCTACCCTTAAGTCGGGCATGTCCCTCTACAGGAGGAATATTCGGAAAAAGAACGTCCAAAAATAGTCAGAGGACGATTGTTATATTATTTGTTGATTGTCATCGCATATGTTATGACTATTTTGAATTTTTCGTCGAAGATCCGCCTGTGGGAGGACACGCCCGACCTACCGCTACCCTTCCCTCGTTTTCTCCTTTTTGTTGGCCTCCTGGGAGGCCCTCGTCGCCACCGCTGGATTCGCCTCGAAACCCTGATCAGGCCGCACCCCGGGAGAGGTCGGGCGAGTAGCGGTATCGGTACCTCTTGGTTTCCCCGCTGGCCGCGATGACCCAGGCCTCGCCTACTGCAGATGGGCCCCTGCGTGGCTCGGGGCTCGCTCGGTGCATCTCGTTAGCACCATCATGTCGTCGCAGTGGAGTGCGTGTATTCGTATAACGATTGAGATTGTTATACGTATTGTTATTAGTAGTGCTAGTATGTTTTATGATTATTCGTATGATTGGTATTATTCTTCTTATTCGTAGTATTAGTAGTAGTAGTAGTAGTAGTAGTAGTAGTAGTAGTAGTAGTAGTAGTCGTAGTAGTCGTAGTCGTAGTAGTAGTAGTCGTAGTAGTAGCAGTAGTAGTAGTAGTCGTAGTCGTAGTCGTAGTCGTAGTAGTAGTAGTAGTAGTAGTAGTAGTAGTAGTAGTAGTAGTTGTAGTCGTAGTAGTAGTAGTAGTAGTAGTAGTAGTAGTAGTAGTCGTAGTAGTCGTAGTCGTAGTCGTAGTCGTAGTCGTAGTAGTAGTTAGTAGTAGTAGTAGTAGTAGGAGTAGTAGAGTAGTAGTAGTCGTAGTAGTAGTCGTAGTAGTAGTAGTCGTTAGTCGTAGTAGTAGTAGTAGTAGTAAGTAGTAGTAGTAGTTAGTCGTAGCAGTAGTAGTAGTAGTTAGTAGTAGTAGTAGTAGTACTAGTAGTCGTAGTAGTCGTAGTCGTCGTCGTAGTCGTAGTCGTAGTAGTAGTAGTAGTAGTAGTAGTAGTAGTAGTAGTCGTAGTAGTAGTCGTAGTAGTCGTAGTAGTCGTAGTAGTCGTAGCCGTAGTAGTTAGTAGTAGTAGTAGTAGTTCGTAGCGTAGTCGTAGTAGTAGTGGTAGTAGTAGTAGAGTAGTAGTAGTAGTAGTAGTGTCGTAGTCGTAGTCGTAGTAGTAGTAGTAGTAGTAGTAGTAGTAGTAGTAGTTAGTCGTAGTAGTAGTCGTAGTAGTCGTCGTAGTAGTCGTAGTAGTCGTAGTCGTAGTAGTAGTAGTAGGAGTAGTAGTAGTAGTAGTAAGTAGTAGTAGTAGTAGTAGTTAGTATAGTTAGTAGTAGTCGTAGTCGTAGTCGTAGTCGTAGTAGTAGTAGTAGTAGTAGTAGTAGTAGTAGTAGTAGTAGCAGCGGCAGTAGTAGTAGTAGTAGTAGTAGTAGTAGTAGTAGTACTTGTATGACTACTGTTAGTGTTGTTGTTATTATGATTGTTTTGGCGAGGGAGAGGAGGGTACAGGCCTTCAGATGGGGCTGGAGCAGGTGGGGTCGCAGGGCCGCGCTCGGCCGCCGAGGCATCGGCGAGGCGGCTCGATTTGGAGCTCAGCTTTCTTCACGCCGACGGCACTGACATTACGTCGGGCCTGTCCCCCTACAGGGGGGCTTTCGACGAAACATTAAAGATACCCCAAACATAGTCCACAAAGAATCCAAAAATAGTCTGGGAACTTTCTTTTTGCATATTTCCCAACCATCCTGTGGTGTTGGGTCCTCGTTTTGAAGAGACGGTGCCCCGCGTTCTCCTTCCTTCCTTCCTTCCTTCCTTCCTCCCGCTGCCTCCTCCCCCCTCCCATCATCATCATCATCATCATCATCATCATCAACACCCATTTCGGCACACCCCTCACACGTTTCGTGGCTCCATAGGGAGCTCCACCGAAGGCCCCAGTGGCCGCGGCCGCATGCGTCACCCACACCCATTTCGGCACACCCCTCACACGTTTCGTGGCTCCATAGGGAGCTCCACCGAAGGCCCCAGTGCCCGCGGCCGCATGCGTCACCCACACCCATTTCGGCACACCCCTCACACGTTTCGTGGCTCCATAGGGAGCTCCACCGAAGGCCCCAGTGCCCGCGGCCGCATGCGTCACCCACACCCATTTCGGCACACCCCTCACACGTTTCGTGGCTCCATAGGGAGCTCCACCGAAGGCCCCAGTGCCCGCGCCGCATGCGTCCCCACACCCATTTCGGCACACCCCTCACACGTTTCGTGGCTCCATAGGGAGCTCCACCGAAGGCCCCAGTGCCCGCGGCCCGCATGCGTCCCCACACCCATTTCGGCACACCCTCACACGTTTCGTGGCTCCATAGGAGCTCCACCGAAGGCCCCAGTGCCCGCGGCCGCATGCGTCACCCACACCCATTTCGGCACACCCCTCACACGTTTCGTGGCTCCATAGGGAGCTCCACCGAAGGCCCCAGTGCCCGCGGCCGCATGCGTCCCCCACACCCATTTCGGCACACCCCTCACACGCTTCGTGGCTCCATAGGGAGCTCCACCGAAGGCCCCAGTGCCCGCGGCCGCATGCGTCACCCACACCCATTTCGGCACACCCCTCACACGTTTCGTGGCTCCATAGGGAGCTCCACCGAAGGCCCCAGTGCCCGCGCCCGCATGCGTCACCCACACCCATGTCGGCACACCCCTCACACGTTTCGTGGCTCCATAGGGAGCTCCACCGAAGGCCCCAGTGCCCGCGCCCGCATGCGTCACCCACACCCATTTCGGCACACCCCTCACACGTTTCGTGGCTCCATAGGGAGCTCCACCGAAGGCCCCAGTGCCCGCGGCCGCATGCGTCCCCCACACCCATTTCGGCACACCCCTCACACGTTTCGTGGCTCCATAGGGAGCTCCACCGAAGGCCCCAGTGCCCGCGGCCGCATGCGTCCCCCACACCCATTTCGGCACACCCCTCACACGTTTCGTGGCTCCATAGGGAGCTCCACCGAAGGCCCCAGTGCCCGCGGCCGCATGCGTCACCCACACCCATTTCGGCACACCCCTCACACGTTTCGAGGCTCCATGGGGAGCTCCACCGAAGGCCCCAGTGCCCGCGGCCGCATGCGTCACCCACACCCATTTCGGCACACCCCTCACACGTTTCGTGGCTCCATAGGGAGCTCCACCGAAGGCCTCAGTGCCGCCGCCCGCATGCGTCACCCCCACCCATTTCGGCACACCCCCCGCATTTCTCGCACGGCAGGGTCATCACCACGGTGGCGTGCCAGGGGCGCACCATGCGCGAAGGCGACGGGGCGGGGGAACGGCGCTCCGGGGGCGGCCAGACCTCCGGGGCGCGAGCAGTCCGCGGCCAGACCATCTCTCGGTCCTGTGGACTCTCGCCCTGGGCCGTCGGCTGCCCGGCGCGCTGCTCCCTCGGTCGACGTCGCCCAGGCGTGATCCTGGATTGCGGCCGCCACGAGGTAGGGAACGGCAAGAAGGAGGACGACGACTGGTGGCTGGAGCTCTACGTGCTGCTCTCGCGCGCCACGCGCCACGAGGACCTCCTGCTCATGCGGGCGCCGCGCATCGAGTTCTTCCTGGCAGGGCCGCCGCAGGGCTTGCGGAAGCAGCTGGAGCAGTTTGCTGCGCGCACGAAGCGGCGCAGGAGGGAAGCGACGGCCCTCGCCAGGGAGCTCGGCTTCACCGAGTTCATCCGCGAGGCCTGACCTGAGGAGCGTCTCCCCCGAGCCGCGCCTTCTCTCGACTGCCCGACTAATTGTTTGGCCTCGCGCCGCGGACGACCCGCGCGCGTCGCTGGGACCCTCTCGGGGCGACCAGCGCGCGTCGCGGGAACTCCGTGCTGCGGGGGGCCCGGCGCCTCGTTCGCCCGTCGTCGCTCTGCCCAGCGGTCAGAGACTTGCCCGCTATCAGCCAGCCAGTTAGCTAGTCAGCTCTCTCTGCTTCGCGCAGCGGACGACCCGCGCGCGTCGCTGGGGCCCCGCCCGGGGCGACCAGCGCGCGTCGCGGGGACTCCGCGCTGCGCTGCGCCCGCAGCCTTGGATTTTGGAGTGCGCGGGCAAAGAGGAAGGAAAAGAAGAGCCGAAAGCGGGCGCGATCCTCGCAAGAGGCGTGCCGACATGGGCGTCGCGACGTGCGGACGCTGCCGTCGGGGTTCCCGCGGAAGCTGCCTGCGGCGGCCACGCCCAGTGTCACGTGTGTTCGGACAGGCATGCTCGAACCATTCACATTCATATACACTTCCACTAGGCGTTTCCATGATCGCACTCATGCAAATATATTCATTCGCGCGCAAACCCATTCATACTCAGATCCCCTCGCGCTCTGACTCACCCGCGTTCTTTCTTTCGTAATCAGATCAATCGTATTCCTTTGCGTTGTGCACCCCGCCACATTTCGGCACACCCCTCATGCGGTTCGTGGCCCCATAGGGAGCGCCACCGAAGAAGATAC